CATTTAACAGTTCAACATCGCATATTTACCTTCAAAACACCCTCCGCGGTTACCTGATATATAAAGCCCTTTCTTGTACGAGCTGTCTGAGTCCAGAATCTATTATAGAAGTCATACCACTTCCTATCGAAAGTTAGTGGCAAAGCTGGGGTTACCCATAGATGCTAGACTCCGATGGTGGTCACATCCGCCCCTTTCATTTCTCACACTGGCTGCAGTTCCCCTTCACATATGTCCTGCCTCTCCATTCTCTTCTACACACCCATGTCTCTTCGGCATACGCCCCAGTAACGTTTGGAACCACTAGAGTTTTTGTTTGGTGTTTTTTCAACACTTTGTTTTTTGTTTTTTTCTTCTGACTGACTCAAGTGCCTGAATTTTCAAATTTTATTTATATTGCTTTGCTTATGAACCCATCACCCACTATTTTTAATCGCAGACTGTGACGTATCAGCGGCTAAGCACATGTATGTGAGCAGGTAGGAACTTGGCCTCGGATAAGGTAGTGTTGTAACAGAGAAAGCTAAGAGCCGAATGTGAGCCGTTCTGAGGGCGTAGTGAACATTTGACCTCGTTTTGGATTGCTATGTCAGTGACCCAGTGAAATGAATTTTAGTCTTTTGCGGTTTAAAGTGCGTGTTCCACTATTTTGCTCTCTCTCTCTTCAGCTCACTGATGGCATCCTGCAAATGGCTGATCAATTAGCATTTGTTTTATCAGTGGTAGAAGTTTGTGTGGGAGGATGCAGAAGTGCTTACGAGAAAATTGAGAGTCATAGTTTTGTCGCGATAAGGACTCGTAAATACTTCCGGCGCCGTCGACTCATGGCCCCTTTATTGAGCCATATTGTTTCTCTAATATAAATAAATTACACTTAATTATTTCGCTATAATGCTCCATACCATAAAAGCAATCTAATTTCATTGCTTACAGGCCATATTAACCTATTCATCGTAGTCTATACCATTATGCGAACCCACTCCCGTTTTCGACGCTCCATATGCTCTTCGCCTGGATGCTGAACGAGTGTTTGTCTTTACGGGGAAATCAAATTTGAGCTTCGCTCGCTCTCTCACTGCCTTCTGAGGTGAAGTTAACGGCACCCTTTTGGATCCGAATTCCTTAGAGGCATATGGCACGATAATTTGGTACTTGGTCCAATACGCTAGCATGGTGCTATATAGTGGGGAAAATGGCGAAAAACTAAGTGAAACGGTCAAAAACTGGCGAAGAAACTAATTTGGGACGAGTTTCCCGTAGACATCTTGCCAAAAACCGCTACGCAAGATACGGTCAAATATGTACTTATTATAGAAGTAGCACCAAAGCCGCTTCATTTCAATCCCCTTGCTTCATATTTTATCGTAAATGAAGCAATACGAGCATTAGATACGGTCGTCCTGTGGGCGGGCGCGGTGGGAGTCCGGGTCAGTATGTTGCAGCTTCATAGGGCCCTACAAGGGTACCTCTCTTGGGAAGGCGCTACGCAGCACTTGCTAAGGGCCGTGGAATTCCGTCCTGCCATGCGTATGAATCATTCTTGTCCTAGGGACTTATCGTACACTGCCTTTGAGAGCGCTGTCATACTTCGCGATTTGGCTGGACCGCGCGCCTGTGACTACAGGGGGGGGAGGGGGGCAAAAAAAAGACATTTCGACCGAGTCACATATCAGCAAAGTTTTCGCAGCCCAGACAGAGGACGTGGATACGAGTACCAGGGCGGAAGATACCCAAGATGTTCCTCTATAAGCAGGAGCTGGCGCTCGCCCATCACCTTCATGTACACCAAAATATGAAGTCATCTCCAGCCGCAACCTGACTGGAGAAGACCTTGGAATTCATGTCACCTCCAAACAGCTGCGAAACTTCTAGTATGGAGTCAGTACTCTCGATCTGGATGACCTCCAACATCGAGCAGCTCCGACAACGTCGCCACGGTCTAGGACATCATCTTCACCACAGTCGCCAAGGCGCCAGTTGATGGTAGGGACCGGACGTACCTGGAATGGAGAGACCGATATTTTCTTCGTGGGCCCCGGACTGAAGGTGAGCGCTGGCGGTTACATCGAGCAACTCGAGAAGAATATCCTCCCCACATGTCGTCGCCCGTACCTTCTTGGAAACTTTGTACTGCTACAGGATTGGGTGACACCACATGGAATCAAAGGGCGTTGGGAAAACTCTTGCCTACTTGGAATGGAAGGGCGTTTCGTACCTGAATATTGAAATATGTCCCCTGACCTGAACCCACTCAATTACCTAGTTCGGGCGGAGCTCAACAGGGTGGTCTACAGTGGCGGAGAAATCAACGATCTCGCTGAACTCAGGCACCCACTCACGGTCGTGGCAGAATCTCTCGATGGCGCTCCTCCAGAAGGCTGTGGCGGAGTATCATAATAGTATTTGATATGCTCTTTAATATGGTGGTGAAATATCCGATAAGAATTCAATAAAGTGTAACTTATAACGCCTCGAAAGTCAAGGAAGAAAAGTCTTTTTTTTTTCCTCCCCCTGTAGAGGCGCTTAACCGCCAATCATTGGAACGTCGCAGTGGCATTTGGAATGGGGAGCCTTCCGACTGTTCATTCGGAATTTTCTTCATTGCGTTTACTGACCTGTCGCCACTTTTCTGACGCTTCTTTAATGATAACAGTGAATGCTGACCTATATAAAACCCAGTTGCTTTTTTATGCGATTGACACGAAATCCTCTCCTGCAGGCATCTTCTTGCGCTGGCTCGATCAATTCTCAACTAGAGGGACCAAAAAAAACGAAAATGACCTACGACCTTCTGCTTCGAATATGAGTATCGAAGTCATCGTTGCGGTGGTCCACCGATTGCCAATAGAGCGGACCGGTCGCTGTAACGCGATCGGATCGCGGAGTATGAACGCGCTCCTAACTCTCCTATTTATACCTAAAGTTTCCTGGTTTCTGTCGGTTTTCAGTTAAGTGATTCCCATGTACTATGTCACATCTTGTCAATTCGAATTCACATGCAGATTTGAAGTGCTAAGTCGCTCGACGTTCTAAATGTCATTTAGATGCTGTTGTTATCAGCTGACTCCAAACTCACGGAGTGTTGCCGGCGACAGTCGTTATAGGCTAAATAGAAATTCTGATGATGCGCCGGGACAGCACACTATGCTAAAGTCAATACAGTACTGAAATCATAATCTTGTTATTTATAGATCGTGCCCTAAATCTCATCCTGATTCCTTTTCGAGATTCGTTCTTTCCCTGTTTAGTTATCCCTGGTCACCCATTTCGGGGTTTCTTTTCGTTTTTCTTTTGGTCGCAAATCTGAGCGTTTTCATTATCCTCATATTTGTTTGAATAGCTATTGGCGAGTGGATGAGAGTGGCAATTTTACCGTTAAAGTCGGCATATTGCCGGCTGGTCTGTTAACAACGTCCCAAGCAGCATCCTGCCAGACATTCCTATTTTTCTCCTTCTCGGCGAAGGACATATGTTACTGGGTCACGTGCGAAAGTACATGCTTTTTCGTAGGAAGTGCTCCTCAAATTCTATCGAATCTGAGAGCTGCAAAGTTCTACACATAGACTTTTTGATGCCAGACAAGGTGGTACTTTTACTGTTACTACCTTTAAAACTCGAAATAATTAATGGGGCTGCATGTACGGGTTATTCGATGCTCTAACGTATGATATTTGTTGACGCTGGCGTAATTTGGCTCCACCACTTTTCTCACAAAAAATCGGCGCAAACTGCGCACTGATGCTATTCGGTGCGCTGATCGCGAACATGACATTTTCAGGGGTGTAGGTTAGGACTCCACGAGAGGTCACGGCTGCCATGTCTCGCCTCGCCGCGCGCGGCGATTGCAACTGATTTTACGAGAGCAACATGGTCGTGCGATTAAGATCCCGGTCCCTTCACATAGTTCTGGCATCACGCGAATCTGCTTGGGATTTTTCCAAACCAGAATATTCAATGGGACGACAGTATTTTTGAATGGCAGCTGTACTTATTCGACGGGTTGCTGTATTTCTTCAATAGGACCTACTTTTACCGTCTGGCCGAGAATCTTAAACCTTACAATATCTTACAATTGAGGCCAAAAGAAGGATTCACCCTGAAAAGAATTTTCGTAGATTGCTGATGTATTCTCTAAATATTATTTCTATGTTAATGGGCGTTGTTTTATACTAGTAGTTGAATATCGGGCCCATTCCTTTCATAGCCTTCACACCTGCAAGTATAAAGCAGACGGTTGGAAATCTCATGAACTATGCAAATGCAAAAAATACATAGCGAAAGCATCGCGGAGAGCACCTCCGCGGCGGCGGCAGGCTGACCTCTCGTGGAGTCCTAACCGTTCCCCCATTTTCAGTCCTGGCACCATTAAGCGCCAATTTGCCACCACACCCTTCATCACCAGGACCAATAAAACTTGTCGGGGAGAAAGAATGGTTCATTTAACGCAAAGCTAGCCTTAACAGAGCGCAGATATTCGTAATATCCTCCACTAGCTCCAGCACCAGCAATGGCATATTAAATGGCATATTCATAATCGGGATGTCAAATGACCCCAGTATATCTACAAGTTTTCATCGAGTTTGACGGGCGAGGATATTTGGCGCCGGCACTTGAAGCGCCTGCGCTATGCGGTTTTGAGCTAAGCGGATGTGATATTCACGTTCAGGATATCAAACTGTCCCGTTGGACAGGTTTCCGGCGAGTTTGGTGATTTGGGTGTTTCGGTGCCGCTGGCGCGAGGCAGGTTGCGAAGCGGATATTTAGTCGAGATCACGAGGTAGAACTACCTCTGAAAACAGATTTTCAGCCATATCTGCCCCAGTAGAAGAAAAAGTCGGTAAAAACTGGCCCGATTTCGGAAGGTTGGAGTAGTAATGGTTGAATAGTGCCTAGAGGGTTCCAAAAATGTCACAAGCTCAGCTCCGCCCTATGAGAACAAGGACGTTCAATTTCGTTAACATTTGAGATGTAAGAAGCGGACGCGCGGTTTTTTGTGCCTTTCATAGTAACTCGCAACTCAACATCTTTCTTCAGGACGCTCGTGCGTGGCCGTCGGTCGGTGAGCGGCCGGGTCTGCGAAAGCTAGGGAGCATAAGTTGTGAGGTTTTGGCGTGGTCTGACGACGACGACATGCACAATGTGCAAGACGAGGACGCAATCCAGCCATACGTCAATCTTCAGCGAAGTGAGTTTACCGTTGCATGTCAGAAGGAGGGGGGGGGGCAGTCCAGCGACGGGCACTTAGCACTTTCGCTGCCACTTTACTTTTGGTTTACAAGTTTCACTCTAGTGAAACCTGTCAATTCTTGTGGAGTTGGAGCAATCTTCGAGCCGCCTTGGTATATGGTTTTCGTATCTTATTTCATAGCTTTACGAAAGCTGACAGATGATCTTTACAATCTTTGGCTGGTATCCTTTGGCGGCGTCACAACATCTCACGGATCTCCACTCGAAGGCTCGATACGTACGTTGAGTGTAGTCAAAGTGCAAAATGTCAGCCCCCCCTCCCCGTCACCGGAAGCTGATGCCTGGAACTGGCGCTGTTTATCGAAAATGTGTTCATGGACTGGTGAGTTTCCTTTTACGAGGAGGAATGCATTGGAAATTCTTCCAGAAAATCCAGACGAGTGTACAGAAGAATTTCCTCAGTGTACTAATTCGCCGCTGATGCCTCTAAGTTTCGGTCTGCTGATGGGGCGAGGGGGGGTAGGGTGCCATAGCGCCAAACCCGTTCTTTGCCGGTTGTAAGCAGGTATGCGCCAGTAGTTGATTGAAAATGAGCAATACGAACGATAAGACACAGCCTTGTCACTTTCTCGCTTCAACAGTTAGTGGAGAACAGGTTTGGCAACGCGTCGAACTCTTCCCGTCAGGCACGCCCCTTCATCCTCAGTGAACCAGACTATAAATGTGTTTCGGCGAAAGTTTATCTTTTTTGCACGCGTCGTGCTTTATACAATTTTCTTCTATCTCCCTTCATATCGTCCCTTTCGAGCGTGCTTCTTTTCTTCATTACAGATCAACATAAAGTTAAAAATCGAGATGAGGGGAGTAGTTGGTTTTTTCAGCTTACAGATTCACAGTTCGATTTATGACAACCGAGTTTCAGTAACATTCCATCAATCTGCTACTCCGTCAACAGATTCAGAATTCGACATGTGCAAAGCGGCAGCAAGAAGAGGCAGCGCGATTCCCTCTATTGACCGAGAAAGCGAAGCAGAGAACACGGATGGTGAAGGTTTCTTTTTTAGTGATAAGTTTACCACACAAATTCCCTTATCACGGCTTTCTTCTCGTTTTCTCCGTTTCTACTACTTTTGTTTGTTTATCACTAACTTGAATGTTCTCATTTAGTCACTTTCCGTGATCAAGACAATACTGACGGTGACCGTGAACAAGAACCTAGTCAAGTATGTTGTTTTCTTGGTCTGTTTTGTTCTTATTTTAGCAGTTTGCTGAGGCGCACTACTGCGCGCATGGTTCAGTGTGGTCCTGATCAATGACAGGATTTCTGTGCTGACCCCTAACACATGGCCCAATTCCCATTTTTCGAAATTCGGCTCATTTCATCATTCTCTTATTTAATGAGCATTCGCCAGTGTCTGGTGCTTATCAATTCCTAAAAACACAGACCATTCGTTGGGAATAGAATAGCTTAGCGGCTGAAAGAGTCGATGGTAACAATATTGAAATCATAGTGAAATGTGTTTACATCCTAGTACTTCCGTTGAGCTGCTTTCACATATCCTTCTGTTGGTGGCTCTTATCATTCCCCACTGGCAAACAACTTAAGCTGTTACTTTTTGTCGAATCTCGAGAGTTTAGCGGTTAAGAGCGCGTTGAGACTTCGCGATCGCGCGATCGCGCTACTGTGGGTGAAATTACACCGGGAGGGGGTCATGTTCGTTCATGTTTATTGTTCCTGTTCTTTTTTCCTTTTCCTTCTTTCTTCCTTTGTGTACATAACGCCCTCCTAATTTTAAGGAACGTTTCGAAATATCTTTGAGTTATTTATTATTTCCTATGTAAAATAGTACTAAATATACAATATGCTAATTATTATACTGAATTTTGCATCTGAGTACGTTCAAGCGGAGTATTGAACATCTTGTTCCAAAAGTAAGACACGCAGAACTTTCAACAGCGGGTGATGTTTCTCTCCCTTCCCCCGATTTTGCCAGTCCTCCAGATATTCACTTTACTTTTGTCACATTGTTTGCTTTGTTTGTTCTGCCATCCTCCAGGTCTATACACAACCTTTCCTTTCGACGGTTTCTGCAAATCGTCAGTATTGCGAATATGAACACGGCCTAAAAGACATCAAAAAAGGTCGAACTTACTTTTATATCGTTTTTGGAACTGCCTATTG